GAGGACGGACGCCAGGGACGCCCGCACTCGGCACTTCATAAATAATCAGATTTCTGCGAAGATGAACCCCTGACTGGGACGTTTATTGAACTCAATCTCTTGACATTTGCCCAAAACTTAAAGCAAAGTTTTCCATTTAATGGCTTTGCTTCCCTTAGGACTCCTATTTTTGTCCTTTTATGTACTCGTATTTATATTTACTCGTATATGTACGTACGTACGTATCCTCTTAAGCCAGAGCCAAAGTCTGACAAATCCGTGGGTAGTTTTCAATTGCCTGCCATTTCAATTTATCTTCATGTTTTTCCTTAGATGAAGGAGCTTTACCCCGGGCATGGCATGACCCCAGCAGACTCATGACATTAGACCGGATTTTTGTTGGCTCCGAGCGCGACTCGACGACTCTTTAAATAGAGCAGCCTGTCAGCCAGTCAGCCAGTCAGTACGGCTTGCGGAAGGGGTGTTCCTGAAAGGGTTCACTTTTACAGGAGAATTAAAGGCAGTTCCACCAGAAATCGAGGCCAGAATCCCATCTATCAAAAGTAATGAAATATTCAAAAGATTTTGGCTATTCTTGGAGTAACTTTCCTTAGTTCCTTGAGCCCAGAAATGTTGTAGGTACTCTTTAAATAAATTAATCTCTGACTATGCCCTTACGGCTCTCGGTTTATGAGGATGTTTCTGGCTGTTCCGGTTGTTGGAGCCCTTCGTTGTTGTGGTTATAATAGGGGATTAGCTTTATTGCTTAATGGTTCCATTACACAGAGCACCTTTAAGCTGCTTCTGACCACTGGTTTCGGGTCTTAGCCTGGGGCTTTCTTGACCGTTAGCCGCTTAGCATTTAAATGCTGACTCGAGTCGGCGGAGCTCTTCTTTAAAGACACAAATTACAGTCGTCGTTAAACCGTTTCCTCTTCATTTGATATTCAAACATTGTAACATGAGATTTAAAACGATTTTTGAATGGTTTTCCAATCATTGTACATGTTTGTGTTTACTGATGAAAACAAAGAAGACAGTCATTGTTGAACGTATTTGTGTCTGTAAATATTTATTTTGTAGGCTATTATATTTGCACGTGCTATATTAGTCTATTCGAACACTTTTGAACTGCTAGAGGCTGCCATTCCCAAGTCATCGATCTACGGCTAAGCGCCCTAAGGCTGTTTCCTTTCTTGTGGCTTCCACTTCCACTATCCCAAACTCAAATTGAACGAAACTTGTTTCTCTTCCAATCAAAAGTTGTATAACATTTTCTTTAATTTCCTTAACAAGCCCCATCGCATCCATCAATTTGCATCTTATCCATGACAACAAAAGCAGGGGGCCACACTCCGGCTGCAGAAATCTCTCTTTTCAGATGGTTTTCAGGAACATCTCTGCCACAGATCTCTCTCTCCCCCTCTCTCTCCCTCTCGCTCGATGTTTGGCTGTGTCTGGCCTGCATAGCCCCCCGCTCTCCACCAGTACTCGGAAGCACCTCTCTCATCGCTCTTTTGTTTGTTTCGTTTTTCTATTTTGTTGTTATTTTTGTCATTTTAAGTGCTTTGCCAAATGCACACGAATCGCTGCAGGCGCAGCACGAATGCCATACACATAGACACGCTCACACAAAGACACACACACACACACTTGAGGCACACAGCTGTGTAGATGTCCTGGTTGCTCCATGCTCCGCTAGGCCGGAAGCTGTTGAGCGCGTGAAGTGGCGCGAAGGGGGCACCGGCTCCGGAACCGGGCACCAACCGGCGACCTACAGCAAACATTGGCCAAAAACACAAAACGCTGCGACCAACTTTGGCCGCCTTTGGCTGCACTGCGAAATCAGTTAAAGGCTGTCAGGGGGCTGGATGGAGGGTAGTGGGGGGTAGAGGGGTAACGCGGCAAGGTTCCAGGGACTTAACACACAAAAAATAGGCACGAAAAATGGCGGAAAACTTATACCAATGCGGTGAAAATTGGATACCCTTGGAGTTGCCAACATTCTGTATTAAAAATCAATCATTTAATGTCGCTTTGTTGGTCTCATCTGGAATATTTAATGATTTAATTTAAACATCCACCATTTCTCTCTTGAAAAGTGGCTCAACAATTTATCTAGGCTGTCTATAGAAGAACTATAAGAACGCCAATCTAACAAGTATCCCACAGAAGCCCTCTTGAGCTGAGTAAATAAATCTGAGAGAATCGAATAGACAGAACTCCAAACATTCGGCGTTTGAGTGCTAATCAATAAAGTACACAAAACTTCATGCGATTCCTTCTGTTTGCCGCAGAAACCTCATCACAAATGGTTGTACCCGCCGCTAGTGTATGGAAAAAGTATTTTCCATGTTTTTTTTTGGAAAGGAAATACTCAAAAAAGCATTGCGGCTCAGTCGCCGACCGAGTCGCGTAGAAATACACAATTTTTACTGCTTTTTCATTTGCTTAAATTTGTTTAGCAAGTTTCGCCGATTTGCTGGTGTTTTTTTTTTGTCGCTCGTTCTTCTATTGAATTGGAGGGAAAAAGTTTTTGAAGTTGTTTTGGGAATGGCGATGATGAAATTATTGATGATGATGAGGGAAAATCGTTTTCGTGGCTGTGGCTGCTGTTTTTGCTATGAAAACTGTCTGTGAATGTCCCTGCAGCATTTTGTTCTGCTTGGGCTTCTCCTTTGAGCAGCTGGCTGGAAAATGCCATACTTTTCCGACAGGGTGGGGAAATCACTCATTCGCAGTGTTGCCAGACGCAGATTTTGTTGTTATTCTTGTTGCCTTTGCTGTTTTGCTGTGTGCTGCTCGCCCTCTCATTTTTTTTCGGTTTTCCGAAGGCAAGCGACAAACAATAAAATACAAATTTGCTACTTTATTTTACAGCAGCGCATAAAGAAAAACAACAAACGGAAAACATTTCCATGACCTCATGTGGTGAACCCCAGACGAGTCACAGCCAGCATATACGGGGGGGGCCTCATCTGTGGGATGATGGGATGATGGTATGATGCCATGATGGAATGGGAATCAGCAGAGGGCGAGAGCCGAAGCGGAACCCTTAAGTAGGTCGCAACAAAATAAAAAGTTTGTTTGCCAGCTTCCAGCTCCCCAAAACACGCATAAAACAAGGGGACTTGAGAGTACTATAGAAGCTAGGGATACCCTGGAAGAACGGCAGAATGGGGCTTGGATCTGTCGACCTCAATGAACCCTCGGAATGGACTGAAAGATTTGTGGCAACAGGAAGGAAATGTTCGGAAAAGTAAACTTTTTCCCACAGAGATATGCATAATTTATAGGAATATGTCAGGATATTCAGGGCCGTCCCCGGAGGAATGCAGGATGTGGGAGAGATCCCAAGAAAAGATTTAAATAATTTATAGAAAGCCGAGGTGAGAGTACGCGAATTTCGAAGAAAAAACACATGACCTTAAGGACTATATTTAGCTTGATAATATTCAAATCATTTCTAGGAATGCTATCAGATGGTTGTATTAATAATATTAAAGAATATTCATGCATCAGGGAACTTTTATAAAAAAAAAACACTTTCTGATGAGAAGTTTTTCTTGTGAAAAATCTAAGTATTTTGACAGGCTGGTGATGAGGGTTTACTGCTCAAATGAAAGACCTAACATTCTTTTGTAATGAATTGGTGGAGTCCGAAAGAAGGTGCTGATGGAGGAGGCTTAGATCGGGAAAGTTGGAGGTGTTGATGTGGCCAGCTTTTCCCAGAATATTTCTGAAATTATGTGAACCTTTGAAGATATGAAATGTCAGAAAAGCAATTGACAAGAAGATTTGAAAGGTTTTTAGAACTTTTGGTGACTAAAATACTGCACCATAGGCGGCTAATGTAGTCGCTAGTGCACCTCTTTAACTTAAATATCCCTTAAATTGTAAAGTTACTAAGAATTGTTCTTTAAAGCCTCTTCTCTGATTGAACCTTCTATAAAAGATCTTACGAAAATATGAAGCATGCCATACAATTTTCCAATCTAAATTCCTGTCAAGAAAACCTCGAAGAATTCGATAGCTGCCAAATCCATTCCGATGCCAAAACACCCGTTTCCGTACCCGTACCCGTGCCTTTCCCCCCGACAGTTGCATATTTCTCCCCCCACACCCCACCCCTCTTTGCGGAAGCCGCTCGTCAACATCAAATTCCCTGTTGATTTGAATTTAAAAGTAATTCTTTTTTTTTGCCCCGTTCTATATTTAGTTGGCATATTTGCAAATATTTGTTGTCGTTGCTGTCGTGACAACATGCCGTATGCTTAATATTTCTTTTTTATTTCACTATTCTCCATTTTTTGCCCGCTTTTCTTTTATTTTTACGCTGTTGCACATTACATTTTTTATACAATTTTTTGCTTTCTTTGCAGTGCACAAATTGAATTTGTCACTTTGGGTTGAAATTGGGGTTTGGATTGGGATTTACACTGGGTCTGGGGCAGGGGCTGGTGCTGGGGCAGGGGCTGGTGCTGGGGCTGGGGCTGGGATCTGCGACCTGGTGGTTTCGGGCTTTTGGTTCTCGCTTAAATTGTCAGCGGAAAATTGATATGCAAAAAATATTTGCACATATGCAGCGGCAGATAAAAATACGAATTGCTAATAAATTAAATGCAAATTGCCGACGGGCCGATGCCGTCGGCTTTAAGCCAAAAGCGGAATTTATATGGTTACATTTTGCCGTTGAAGAGCCACCGGAATCGGTTGGAAGTTACTTTGTGGCCAACAGGGGGGAATGCTAAAAAGTTGTGGCCAAAGTGGAAACAAATCAAATCAAAAGGGCCAACAAGATGAATGGCATGGGCCGGAGACGGAGAAGCCAAGTTATAAATTCATTTGGAAAACATGAAGCAGGAGCCAAAGCCTCTTCTCGTCGTCTCTCCTTTTCCCCACACCCATACACAGACACACACACAGACACACACCGTTTTCCTGATGTCTCTGCCATTTTCCTCTATTCTGCTTGTGTCTCTGGGCCTTTTCTCACTCCGATTTCCCTTCTTGTTTTACAGGCCTTCTGTTTGCCGCGGCGGCCACAGCTCCTTACAACAGCTCCTCGGATGACTTCAGTCTCGGCGGCTCCGTGGATGGCCCCCCCACCCTGTCCACGTTTCTATCAGCCCCATCATCACTGGCAGCCTCATCATCGTCTGCGGCGGAGGCGCCACCACAAACGGATGCCACGAATCACACTTTCAAGAGTTTAGCCTTCCTGGCCGGCATCGGCGGCATCGGCCCCGTGTCCTTTGGCTCAGATCTCTTTGCACTCGGGACGGAAACGGAGATGGACAGGGACCGAGGCAGGGACCGGGACACGGACTTGTACTCGGACCTCTCCCAGTCTCTGCCAATTTTCGACTTTGGCATGCCGCGCAACATCACCGGACGCACTGGCCACACCGAGGCCATAATTAAATGCCGCGTGGACAGTCTCCATGATAAATCGGTGAGTGCGAGTGCGAGTGCGAATAGTGTGGTGGCACTCCTCCAAGGGCCTCCGTCCCCGGGGATGGAGGGCAGGGGAAATAACCGATGAAGATGCGTGCCAAGGACATCGAGTATATCATGTGGATGTGCAGTCGTTAATCAAATTTCTTTCACCCTCTCTCCTTGGGCCAACAGGTATCCTGGATACGGAAACGTGATCTGCATATCCTGACTGTCGGCACAGCCACCTACACCTCGGACAAGCGTTTCCAGGTTTGTCATGTATTCACTTACTAATTGAATGCGATGGGTTAAGCGAGGAGCGAGGAGCGAGGAGGTCCTCGAAAGACACTGCCACTGGCAAGGGGACACAGAGTGATGAAAGAGGGAAAAATACTCGTAATGCAGGGAATGTGTTCGTAGTTATTGGTAGCCATATTTCATTCCAGATTGCCTCGAAATCTTTCATCAGAGGTTAAACGAGAGTCAAAGTTTGGGGGGGGGGGGGGTGGGGGGAAATTCGATTAGTTATTGATTTCGGTAGTTCTGGATTTTCTGATAGCTTTGAGTCGATTATTTAGAGATTACTGTCTGACATTAATCTCCCGATGGTTAGGTCTTGTTTCGTATTGATTTTTGGATTAAGTTTTTGGGCTAATTACTTTTTGGTGAGTCCTCGAAGAGCTACTTAGTCTTGATTTCTGACGAATGTTAATCAAAGAGATTGTTGTGATTCCCTCAATTCCAATAGATAGTTAGTAAAACTACTAGAAATGAGATTGCTTTTTGTTAGAATTTCCGTAGTTTAGTTTAAAGAACATCTATAGCATAATTTCTGATTTGTATTAGCTGCCATTCTAATTGACTCTTGATAGATTTTTCCTTTATCAATCTTATTTTGTATTTCACATCATCTTTTCGAACTTCTATTAATGACGATTTTATTTCATTCATGATTCTAAAAATACATTATCAACTCATTCATGATTAATCTTAATAGAATTTAAGTTCTTGGAAAGGAGATGTCTCCTCTCGATGCTCTTTCACGCATGAAATGTCTACCAAAACATGATTAAAGTCAAGTCTATAAAGGCAAGAAGTTTGTTTAATCAAAATGATAGAGTCATAAGTCCGTTGATTGAGTGTGGGAATTAGACAGAAGACAGACAACCTTACCCTTTTCATTATATTCCATGAAGTGTGAGGGGTCTCAGAAGGGTCACCTTCAAAATGAATTCAAACGAGGAAATGCCATGTCGGTTTAAACAAATTTTGAGTAGTGTAAAGCTGTTTCATTTGCCGAGCCTTTTTTGCATTTGAATCCCACGGAAATCCCCCTCAAGTATGGTTTACATGAAATCCCTAGAGAAACCAACAATCTATTAGTACATTCACCTGGCCGCCCCAAAGCGAGTCAACGCAAATCTATCCGCCCAAAGCCCCATTCAATCCCTCAGATCAACTTCCAGATTAGATACCTGAAACACGGCAAATCCCGATAAACTTTCAACCAATGTGGAATGTGGAGGCCCAACAAGAGCAGCCACAGCCATGGCGGCATGTAAAAGTTAACTCCAGCTCTCGAGGGGTATTATGGCCATAAAGCCACTTTCATTATGCATGCATAAACGATATTTCAACGGCTAATCCGACTCATAACTCAGGACAAATCTGCCCCCGTGCACCCCTCGATAGCCGCCACTGTGCGGCAGTTGAACAGCCAAACAACAAACAAGTGGCAACAACAAACAAGCAGCGAGCAAGCAACCAACAAACAAACAAACATTCAATTGCATAATTGCTTAATTTCCATGAAAAAATAAAAAATAAAAATCGAATAAAAATAATACAAATTTGCTGCATTGCAAATTGTTGCCTTAAAAGCGAATAATTATTCCACCGAGACATGACCGAATGAATGCCAAATTGAAAACTGAAATCGAACAACTGAAAAACATTGAAAACATTTATGCACGGTATATTTCAATGGTCCTGCTATACGATTACCCTCTACAAAGATTTATTGAATGAAAATGTGGCTCCGAACAGATGCGAACTATCCCCATAAAACTTAACCAATGAGAGCAAGAAACATGGGCATAACCTTAACAGAGAACTTTGTTTTATTTGGTGGAAAAACATCCGATACAGGCACGCCTTTTTTCCACCATTCTGGTTGTGTATTCTGATTTGTGGGACAAAAAGTGGGGGTCGTCTCTTTCAAACTGTAGATACCCCAGTTTTATTCCGATTGAAATATATAACAACTGGCCATCACATCATCCTCTCTGACTTCAATACCTATTCTAAACGATCTAGTTGCTAATATAGATATAGCAGAGGAAAGATATATGGGACTGTATAGGAAAGACTGTCATAGGTGTTCGAAAAAGCCCAATCTTTGTAGATGGAATCTCTCAGATATACTAATCCATAAGCACAAATTGCCATTCCATTGCCATTTGTTATACTTTTAGTTTATTTTAGAAAAAATAAAAACCCTTTTATCTGATAGTCACATATGTATAGCCACACATAACATACCCCCGGAACACCATGTACACCCTATTAAAAACTGCAAAAAACACTGAAATGATATCTGTATCTCTGTGCGTTTTTGTACGTGTGTGTCCTTGTCAGGTAACCGAATCGAAGGATGCCAGGGAGTGGACGCTGCACGTGAAGTCGCCGCAGGCGCGGGACAGCGGCATCTACGAGTGCCAGGTCAACACGGAGCCCAAAATGTCCATGGCATTCCAGCTGAACATCATCGGTGAGTAGACAGACCAATTGTGATAGATGATACGTATTCCGATTTGCTGCCTCTGATAGCTGACACATTTCAATCAGCGGATGCTACTGGATAGTTGATATGGCGGACAGTGGAATTTCTCTGCATTTGAAGTTGAAATTCATTTTGTTTCTTGTTTTGATAATCACATTTATTCCGCTTTTGGAGGCTCCGAGTGATGTTTACCTGCCGGGGAGCTGCTTATTAAAAATGTTAATTCAGTTTCTGCCCCGCCAGCAGCTAGCAATTATGATTATTTCCATCGTCCCCGTCGTGCCCTTCGTGCCCATCGTACCCATCGTGCCATACCATACCATCCGCTATCCCATTGCCCGACTGGGGTTCAGGCAGTTTTTGGTGCGGCCCGCTGCGCCTCTAGGCATACATTTTTAATTTCGCATTTCGGCCCATAAATAAATAAATAAATAAAAAACGGAAATCAGCAAAGGAGCTCCGCAGCTGCAGGCGGAGAGCCTCCGGGTGCCGGGGTCTCCTCCATACAAACAGATGGTGGGGAGCTTACATGTCGCTTGTTATTTGGGAGCCGTGGCCGGAGCCGCTGAGTTAATTAGCATGTCAACCCGGCGGGATTACGAGCCGGGGTCCGATTGGAAATGTATTCAACGCTTTAATGAGCCATGAATAATGCCTGTGTCCGCATATAATTAGCTCTCAGTGTGACGTCCCTGCTCCGGCCTGTATTGTGTCCTGTCCAAAACAATGTCTTGTCCCTGCCATTAGTTGGGCTAGGGAATGATGACTCCGAAATCCATCGGTAATGATTAATTGATGATGGCCTGATCACAAAATGGAAAACTGAATCCCGTGGCAGGCAGGCATCACCACCTGGTGATGTGGCTCTGGAAAATTGCATTGGGGGAAACTCTAAAAGAGCTATGCGCAGGGAAAATTACAGTTCACTTTTCTCTTTCTCCCTGTGGTGAAAGTTACTTGGCAGAAGCCATAATTTAGTTGAGACTTTTTCTTTTGAGCGGAACTTTTCTTATGGAAGCCACATTTGAGTTGAGAATTTTTGCTTTTCATCGGCTTGTGGCTGTGTTTTCTTTTTCGATTATCCTCGCTTTTATGTTTCGTTTTTTTTTTTCGCCTTCACCGATTGAGGGCTTTCCTGAGATGGTAATATTTCATAATTGAAAAACTCTTTTTGGATGATAATCCGACGACATAGGTCTTCCTAAATGCTTCTCTCGTCGGAGCGATAGAGATCAGAAGCCAAAAATGATTATCTTCGGAATGGAACACAAGGACAGAATAATTATCCCCAAGGCAAACTTTGCTTACTTATGGTAATCCTCAGAGTTGGCTCCTTACCCTGGAACATACTCGTCTCTCATTTGAATCGTGATTCCTGAATGCTTACTCCTCATTAATTCTCCTCCTACGGAATCTCTCAATCACCTTTAATGAAATTCCTTCAATCCATCGACGGCCTCATTTGCCTTTCAGTTAATTCCTCAATGGAAAATCGTTTAAAAAACAATCAATTTGAATATTGGATTTAATGGGTTTTTAAAGAACTTTGTGTAAATTTAGGGCTATCCCATTAAGAACGGCAATTTTTTCGTACTTTAAGTAACAGGCTCGATAAGGGGACAAGTGCTGTCAAGTGGGGCAGGGCGGGGCAGGGCAGGGACTCAGAGATTGAGCGATTGAGGAAGCGAAAAACCGAAAGACTGAGAGCTGTTGACAGGCCCTGTTGGCATCTGCTGTCAGCCACTTATGCAAATCAGTTTGCAATGCCTTTTTAAGTTTCCGATTATGCACTTGGGCGCGATGCATTTTTGTCGCAGTCCACTGCCGTGCCTCTGTGTCCGTGGCTGTGGCTCTGTCTGCGTCTGTGCCCCATTCTCGTATTCATCCGCCGTCATGTTTCCCCGCCACTTCCCGCTCTGACGCTTACAAACGCATTTCCGATTACATTTTCTTCACGGGCGTATGCATTTTAATTTACGTTAATGAAACAATTTCAAAAGGAGTCGGAGCCCGCGCTGGGCTGGACTGGACTGGACTGGAGTAGAGTGGATTCTGGCATGGATAGGATAGGAGTGGACAGGAGTCTACTCGACTGGACAACAGTGCTGCTGACAGGCATGGCAAACTGGCTGCGTCCTTAATAACATTATCGGCATACGTGTCGTATGAGTGACTTTCGCAAGGCGCTTAACTCTTCATTCTGCCTCCGGGCTCTTGGTTCCGGGCTCCGGGCTCCTGGCTCCTGGCTACTGGCTCCTGTTTCCTGGCTCCGGTTCCAACACCGACTCGGTCGGGCTCCCGTTTCTACAGCTGCCTCTTTTCTGTTGCCTTGCATTGCATTTAATTAATGTCATTATGCAAATTTATGCGACCAACCCCAAACGATTTTATTTTTCCCTCGTCTTTTGCTGTTTTCTTGTTGTTGTTGTTTTTTTTCGGAGAGGAAAAGAGATTTATTTCTGTTATAAATTAAGGTTGGGGCGGTCTGGAAAAAATCCAAATAAATATGCATGAAAGTATGCCCTAAGATGATAATTTAAAAGGTCGTATAAATATGGAGGCATAATTCTTGAAAAATATTCCATTGCAATTAGTGGCGTAATTGATTGTTAAATCTTGTGGGAAATTATGCGGGAAAATAACACCAATGCATTCTTAATGCGGGCATTTTTTTGCTGCACTTTTTTTTAATCAGTTTTGCAATTCATTTGCCATTATCTTGCGCACAATATTTTCACCAATTGAAAAGGATTTAAATGTACTATTTATTTATGTACTTGTTTATTCTTTAAAATATTAATAACCTTCAATTAGTGGTGTATTATTTGTATAATCTTATGGCGAATTAAGGGAAAGTGTTTGGGGTTTTCGGTTCATTTTTTTCAATGCTTTAAACATTTTGCTATAATATTTTTTCCCATAATTTTTAGACCAGCTCATATTTATGCATTCATTGCACTTGAAAAATATTTTTTCATTGCAATTAGCTGCGTAATTAATTGTTAAATCTTGCGGGAAAATTAAACAATAACAATGCAATCACAATGAAAGAATCACAATTGGAGTATTTACTTAAAGTACGAGCCACTTCACATTAATGAGTCTACATACATATATGAAAGCCCTTGGCATCCCCAAGCCAGTTCAAGCTGCTCCTTCAGACTTCTGTGCAGTGTAAAAAAAAATGGAAAAAGGATAGACGGCAGATGAGCATAGGATGAGAGGATGAAAGGTTGAAGAAATCCGAGCTCGAAACTTAATCTAAGGATGGTTTCATTTCAAGGGGTCCTACAGGAGTACCCCCTTTAAATTTCACAAGAATTTTTGAAGAATAATCGAATTATTTATCAATTATTCCTATTGCAGGATCACAGGATTCTTTACAGAACGGAATGCTTTATATTTTTTTAATTTTTTCACAATTACGCCAATAATTTCTCCTGGAATCTTTATGCAATTGAAACGCATTCAAATGTTTTCCATCTGTAAAAAAGTGAAAAATGTGCTTTCGAAATGGAGAATTTGTGGGCAAATGGTTTGCGCCATTTTTCCAATGCACTTTTGTATCGTCATGTTGCGCTGCATTTAATTTTCATGGGGATAGATTCAGAAGAAGAAAATAGATCTAGCAAAAGTTTCTATCATATTATTTCATACATTTTCCAGGGCATTTTCGTAGGAATCTTAAGCTTTTTCCACAGCATACTTTTCCGCGCATTGGCCGAAACATTTACCAGCCTCATTAGGATTTGATTAATTTAATATTTAATATTTGTATATCCTTTCCCTTTCAGCTCCCTTTTTAGCTGTAATTGCACCCATTTGACCTTAGAATCCTTTTGTTTCCGAATTTCGTTATTGTTGCTGTTTGCACGCCGCATTGCATTTTATTTTCATGAAATATTTAAATTAAAAAACTTCATGGGCGGCCACACAAAATGCACGCAGAACTTTAGCGACAGATGGCTGAAAAATGAAGGAAAAATGAAAAATCTGAAATGAAATGAAAATAGTGAGGAAAATGCCTGTGTCTCTGGCTGCTTTCCCTTCCCTTCCCCCCTCTCTGTCTCTCTCGTTCTCCCCGTCGCCTCTTCTGGGTGTTAATTGCCTTTAACGCAGTGACACTGCACAAACACACTGGCAAAAGAGAGGCAGAAGAGAGGAAGGGCTGTAGGGCTGTAGGGTTGTAGGGGCAGAAGGAGGGCACTGACAAATACATACGCACTTAATGGCGCAGTGGGATTTTTTAACACACACACACACACACACATGAACAGTCTCACACATGGACACTCTCACAAACTGAACATATGCCAGAGATACAAACAAACAGGCCAAAAAAAACACACGAAGCGCGATGCTCGGGAAGAGGAAGAGCAAGCGGGACAGCTACAGGGCCCTGTAGGGAGGCGGGAGACAGAAAACCGCCACTCGGCAAGATCTCTTGCCGGCGCTCTCTGTGAAAACCCCCATTTGAAGCGCCCCGCGACCCATGTAATCATCATCATATGCACTTTTATGAGCTGCGTCGCACATCGCCACAGCCAGAGAGCGTGGGGCACAGTGGGTCGCAGTGTCTTTGATGGCTGGCAAAATGTACTAATCTTTGCCGAGTGGGAGAGCTTAAAGGATTGACCCTGTTAAGCTCCATTTAGTAAATAATTTAACCTTAATGGGGTTACAAGTGATTGCTGGAAAAGAAAGGCGGAAAATAATAACAATTAAATGCTGCGTGAGTCGTGTGTGTGCCCCCTTCTGGAGGGGTTCTCTATGAAGAGGTTTGCCCTCTGGACAGCGAAAGCTTTTCGGCCTAAAGCCAATAAGGGAATACCTGCGAACTGCTCTTACTCTTCCTAAAATGTTTAAAAAATAGCTGAGCTTACCTTTTTATATACGATATTCAAAGTCTATAGGGATATAGGGATCTGAATCGTCGTAGAAAGAATTCCTCTTCATTGTTCCCTTAGGATTGTAGGGCGGATGCATTGCCATTACCTATAAATGGATGATTCCCTGATATCGTGCATCATTCAGCAGAAAAAACCCCCTCATCGCGGCTTTATTTCAGTTCATTGTAGAGTAATATTTACCTTCTTTAACCCGGCTAAAGACTACCTTTGAAGTTCCATAGTGCCTCATATGAACTGTTATTTCGTTTTACCACGTCGTGTCTCCGGTTTTTGGGTATATTTTTTAATTATTATTATTTGCACAGTCCAATGCATAATAAATATTATTATTAACCCAGTTTCGCAGGCGAGTGTGAGACTGTTTCCATATGGAGTGTACGTATATTTGCATACACATTTATGCGTTACATGTGGCTCTGCAAGTGTGTGTGTGTCTGTATGTGTGTGTGCTATGTCTGGTGTGATTTTCTCACTTTTCCGTCTCTCTTGTTTTTTTCACGAATTTACTTAAATTTAGTGCAATTGAAAAGTTATTCCATAAAGTTTTATGATTAAAAGTTTTTATGTGCATTCAGAGTTGGCTGGGAATTCGTTTTACAAGCGATTGCCCCAAATTGATTTCGCTGTCTGCCACCCCCACCCGCAACCCCACCCTCGGCCTGGCCACCCACTGATGATTGCACCTTGTTTTCGGTTCATTGCAGAAATCTCACCTGACGCCAAGGCCGTTATCAGTGGGCCACCGGATCTGCACTTCAAGGCGGGCAGTGCCATAATCCTCAATTGCGTGGTGCAGCAGCCCTCCGTCAAGGACATTGGACCGATATACTGGTATCGCGGCGAGCACATGATCACCCCATTCGATGCAGACGACGGAGAGACATCCCCGACATCCCCCAAACAGGAACTGCAGGGAAGGAATGGGGCTTCAGAGATGGACTCCTCGCCGAATGATGTGCTCAGCGATGTGGACCTGCAGCGGGAGTTTGCCACACGCATCGCCATGGAGTCACAGCTGGGCGACACCCTCAAGTCCAGGTGGGTACAGTGCCCCCTTTGGGGACAGCATAATTGAGTTGTACTCAGAGTCTCCTTCTTAATCCCGACAGGCTGCGCATCGCCAATGCCCAGACGACGGACACCGGCAACTACACGTGTCAGCCCACAACGGCCAGCAGCGCCAGTGTCCTGGTCCATGTGATTAATGGTGAGTCCCTGGGAGTCGTTCTGTAAGTGAATGAGTGCGTCCTAGCCTGGTCTCAGGCCCAGGGCTCAGTCTCAGGCTCAGGTCCGTGCCTGGGACATGGGCCCTGGGCCTCTTCTCTCTTCCGGCTCAGGTGGTGCCAGTCGAGGCATAAGCCTATTATTTACAGTGCCAGCACGTTGTTAGTGTACAGCATACATACATATGTGTGGGGCAAGCTACTCTGAGAGAGAGAGAGAGCGAGAGAGAGAAAGAAGCTCTCTGCTAAAAGGAGCCGACTCTTAAAGCTTAGCCATGGTTCAGTAAGCACTGACTTCTGTAAGGACTTGCAAGAAGGAGCTGGACTTTTGGTTAAAATGCAGAAACATTTCGGACTCTTCCATCTGACATAAAGTAATAAGTCCAGGGCTCCTTCATTCATTTGTAATGCTTACAAATAGTACCTACCTAAAAGTAATTTCTATCATTTACGAGTAATAAGAATAGGAAATTGAATGATAGTACTATTGCAATCACACTTTTGAATGCTTCTCGTTTATCCCTTGCATATTTTAGCACTTTTTCTGGTGCTTGCAGGAAACTTTATTCCACGCACTGTGCACAGTACTCTCTCTCTCTCTCTCTACTCATTCACAGACACGCCCTTTCGGGGCTACGAATAGAGGCATAGAGGCCTAAAAACTAAAACTTTCGCCACACTTTCCCCGCCCACCCAAAGTCGGGTTTCCTTTTGGGTCGTTTTTTGTTTGTTTTGGGCCTCGCTCGCGTTTTGGCAGGATGCGGGCGGCGGGAAGCGGGACTCCTTGGCGTATGAGTAATGTGGATGAGGAGCGAACAGTCGGAGGAGACTTTGGCGTAGTCGCCATTTTGGCTTTGCATATTTTACACATAAATTAGACAGGAATTAAGACATTTTAAGCTGCGAAATGAGGGGCATAAACTTGACGCCTCTTTTGTCCTCCAATTTCCAGTGTTTTTTTATGGTCCTTTATGGCAGGACATTCGCAGCAAATTGAAGTCGTCCGACTCCCACGTCCGTAACTCCCCGTCCACGCCCCCGCCCCCGCCCCCGCCCCCGCCTCTGTCCATGCCCGTGTCCGTGTCCGAAGTCCTAGTTTTTTTATGCGGTATCAAATGTTAAGCGAAATGTCCAGCACTTAAGTTGTTAAGTTGTTTATTCAAATGAATTTTGTTGTACGTACAGGAATTTGCATTTTAAAGAGCAACTGTCTTCTGGCGGCTCCTCTCCTACTCGTCCACTGGCAAGCCATAATAAATATGATTAAATGTCAGAAGTAACTTGCAAAAAGGCACTTAATCATGCCCCACATGTGTGCCACAAGAGTCGACCAGCGCGATGTGAAGGGTGTGGATAGCAGACAGCCCCTGTAAATGGAGGAGACTGAGACTGTGCCTGTTACAGCGGCTGGTACTGGGACTGAAACTGGTACTGTGCCTGCCACTGCGACTGGGACTGGGACTACCATAAATACAGATAATAAATCAAAGGCAATAAAATTTTAAGAAAAATGATAAGGACCGAGTGCTATCTATAGCTAGGGTTACAGCGAATGGGTTGTACTCTATGAAAAGGGCTATGATTGAAGCGACTCTCAGACTCCCAAAAATACCGATTTGGCTACATTTTCCCAGGTATATCGATCTCCAAAGATATTAGCTGTATCTCTGCTGATAATTAGAAGACTTAGATGCTCGTCAGATGCTGTGGCACATGTCCATCTGTCCTTATTATATCTCTAAGTCAAGGGAGTTATGTTTACTCCATTATACCCTGCCTTCTGGAGCATATTCCACCCATTACTCATCTCAGTGTGTACACCCCCAACAGGGGCTTTAAAAATCAGTGGCTGCGCGAAAAGAGATGGGCATCCCTTTGTGACGAGTCAAAAGAAAGCATTGACAAATGATGCGCTCTGGAATAGCATTTGCTCGGGGCCGCAGATATATAGCGTATACGCTGAAACACATATGTCATTTATCTAGTCGTGCACCCGCACACCACACACCCTCGTCACACACACACACACCCATAGCCACCCACCCACCCACTCATAAGTCAGTTTGCGAGCTCCCTACAATTAAATTAAGTTATTTGCCATGGCATAGTTAATGGGGCGGGCGCTGCCACAGATTTGCATACATATGTTACGTAATTATATTCCACTGTTTGTCCAATCTCCATCTCTCCCTTTCTCTCTCTCCCTCTCTCTGCAGATGAGAACCCCGCTGCGATGCAGAAGAGCGAGGCATTTGCTCTGCCCGGACTCGGCCTCCGCCTGGAGCTTTGTTGGATGTTCCTCTTGGTATTAGCTCTCAGTCGTTGAAAGCGAAAGTTGTACCCCAGAAGCATCATCATCATCATCGTCCTTATTCTCATCATCGTCCTCATCGTTAACTTTGTTATTGCAAACAGAAAAAATACAGAGACAGAGACAGACAGGGAGAGAGAGAGAGAGGGCGAGAGATAGTGTGTAACAAATGGGAAAACACGAGGAAAATTATATGTGTTTTTTCCCAGTTGCTCTTCGAGAGATGTTTTTTAGAAATGCTGGTAAAAGGAATGGCAAACACGGGCATGGTCCCGCTTTCCCTTTCAAGCATAATGTGTTTCCTTTTTAATATTTACATTTCATTGTGCAAAAATGAGACACTGAGCCCCGGAAAATGCAATGGAAAATGCAAAAGGACGGGCCGGCGAGATGCGAGAGGCGAGAGGACAACCAGAAGGAGGCAGACGCGAACCACAGAAGGACAGAAGGATGACACTCTCTGTAAATACCACAAAGATGCGGCTCAGCCCAGCATCGTCTCTCTTCTATCATACAACATGTATAGTGCCGTGTAAAAGTCTCTGTACGACCATACATACATACATATATATAAATATATATATTATTCACCTACTCTTAGTGATATGATAACAACGGACACTAAAATAAGCGCGTACTATTAGGGACCACCTATTTTGATACCGTTTTAGTTACCAATTTGTTTTGCCCCAAAAAACATATATTTTTCTGTTTTCTTTCTTGCCGATAAGCCCAGGCTCAATCTGAAATCTTCCTTCTTTAAGTTTCCTCAAGTTCATTTATAACCCTCTAGATAGCCAAAAATGGTTGTCAAATGCAGACTTTCATCCGCCACTGTGCGTATGTAAAAGTGTATTTTATTTCGTTACTCTGTTCCCAGTTCTCCCTCTTCCTCTCCCTCTCTCTGTCTCTACTCTCTTTTCATTGTCAATCCTCATCGAGAAGACAAAGAGGAGCGTACCACGCATCGACTTGATAAACATTTCATGCTGTCTTAACAGAGAGAGCAAAGCTAACCCAAAGAAAGCCCTAAGAATAAAAAGAAAAGAAAACCAACACACAGTCTGTGGCACAAGTATGCAGCCATACCCACACTACTACTACTACCCGAAAATTGTAATATATATATAAAACAAAGAAAAACTCTCATCAAGTACTCTGTAAAAAAAACAGAGAAAGAAGGAAAGTAAAACTGTCATCAAATAACAGAAGAGAAAGAAAGAAAGTAAAACTTAATTATAAAAACTAAATTGTATGGAATTTATTTATGGGCAAAATGAAATTTAGTCACGCGGCGGCCCATATTCAAATGAATATGGAAAATGGCAATCGAAAAAGCGAACAACGAAAGAGACCTAAATGGAATTCGCAAATGAAAAGCGAAATCAATTGCGGCATGCTTGACTAAATTTGACGTTGCACATGGATTGAGGATTGTGGATTGTGGATTGTGGATTGCGGATTGTGTATGTGGTGTGTAGCAAATATACATATTACGAGTTCTCGTACTCGTTCTCGTATGGGTACTATGGGTAGGCATGAATTTACTACACGTAAGCCAGTAAGCAGATTTTAGATAATTTATGTGATGACAAACCAAACGATAAATAAATCAATGGAATGAATTCTTTCAACAATAAAATGAAATGAAACTAAAACTAAAACATAAACATAAACCATCAAAACCATTTACCATTTATTTCCCCGTGGTTGGGCACCAGTCTCTGCTTTTCTCTGGTAAGTATTTGCCAAATGTATAAATTAAGTAAATTCCAAACTCAATTACTGGGAAAAACGCTGTCAAACATGTTTTTGCTCTTCAATTTGATTTCATGTCCATGCACATTTGTGTGGCACTGTGCCTGAAACACAACTGTAAAATAATCATCAAAGCGAAACCCGCAAAAGCATATTTGCTTCCAATCAGAACTCTGTTCGGGCATGGCGATGGCGTTTCCAATTCAATCTACAGCCTCCCCTTCTCCTCTCTCGCTTTTTTCTGCTTTCGAATGCATTTCTTTTGGGTGGAAAACAGAGCTGCACATCGATTGATCTAATCAGGCTATCAAAGCTCTGTCCTTGACGCCGGTTTGTTCTCTTTCAGAAGGGTAGTACTGCTTTGACCAAATGCTTGTTACGCAGGCACGTAAAGAATAAATCGCTAGTCGCTCTGTTCTACATCTAGTAGAAGTAGAAGTCGCAAATACAAATCGAAACCCTATGCTATGTCATACAGCTCCCATGCAAAAAATCGGAGTCAGGAATCAGAAAGATTATCAATAGCTTCAGTCAGAAAGGAAAAAAAGCTGAAAAGAGTAACAGAATGCGTGGAATCAGTTCAATAAAGCAAACTCGTTATATGTATATACGACTGTTTTGACTGTTAGTTTTCTAATTTTACGCATCCTTTCACTCTACAGCTCTAACCGATAATAACCGATATCAACAGCTTATATCCCAACGTGAAGCTCCTTTCGCTTTAATGTGAAACATGAAGAGAAGTCTGCACTTGTTTAAGCTAAAGACTCCTCCAATCATTTGCGCCAGCTTCCAACATCGTTGGGAAGCTCAAATTTCTGAAATTATAATTGATATTTGCTGCGGCTTCAAAAAGAAACGGCAGAGGAAAATATTATTACAACAAAACAACGCGGCAAAAGTTCAGCGTGCCGCAAGATGGTGCCATAAAAACGCCATTACTGTCCCTACCACACACAGATACGCATACACATACACAGAGGACCTGCACCGTCACCACCGAAACACCAAAGACACCCACCCACCCAACTGACCCAATTAATGTGCCCATAGCCGCAAGTGTTTTTCATTAGTTTGAATCCGCACGAAGAGATCATCGCCGGTATTTAAATGAAACAATTACGGACCATCCCGGACAGCCGCCACTTGTTGCGCTTCAGAGGAACCAAAAGGACCATCAGCAGCACCACCACGACAAGGCCATTTAATGTCCGTTCGGATGGAGGTTTTTATTTTAATTTAAACAAACAGAGAAGGACAAATTTGTTGGTCTCCGGCATCCAGCAACCAGCATCCAGTACTCGGCCCCTCATCATCCGTTGGCGTGGCAAATCCAATTCTGGATATCAATCATACGCCGCATAGGCTTACAGAAATGTATTCAGCAGGGTGATATATGAGCCGGTTGTGCTGAGTATCTGGGGAGGAGTGAAAAAGGCGGGTAAAACAAGAGAAACATAAACATTTATTATCATAATCAACGGCAAGAGAGAAACATCTCCTCTCATCCCGAACCGAACCATACCGAACCGAAGGCCATGAGGGAGGGCGTAAAAAACGGAACCGCAATTGTTTTTGCCCGCTGCGAACGCCGCAATATCATTAAAATCATTTTTCTAGTCCTCGCGTCGCATTTGTACCACTCAATGTCGTACAGCACGTCCGCCACAGCAGCGCTCTGCAAAAAGGAAGAGTGGTACGTACGAATTGTGAAGAAAAAACATCCGACTGAAACTGAAACTGGATCTGGAACTGAAACTGATGTGGGATGTGGGCGGATGATGGTGCCACACCGAGGAGGGATGCGCCTGCCAGATGATGGGTGCTCTCCACGTGGATGGGGTAGGAGTGTCGACGCCTCCCCACTTTGTTGTGTAATTAAAATTTTATCACAAGTGCAATTTGTGTATGGCACATCATTTTTTATGTCGGGTGCCTGGCTGCTTAATGTTGGGCGTCAAATTGAAATTACAGAAATTGAAAAAAACCAGAACCGAAATAAACCATCCACTGGAAATGAGTGAGAGGTTAGTAGGGGAAAAACCGAATGCAGAGATACTCTTCGGGTTGGAATAGGGGAAAGGTTTTATATATTTTAGAGCTTTCCAGATAGATCTACTTGTCGACAGATGGTAGATTGCTATTCTGTAGGAAATGGTTCTTCGAAGCGAATAAAGGTGGACATGATTCACAGGCACTATCTTTAGCCATTCTTATATATAGTTACTATCAAGCCACCTTAATGGACCGATCTACAGTCCAGCCCATCCATAGACAGATTGTGCAGACAGACGGGCTCTACAGACTTCCATGGAGTTCACAGAGAATCCAAAAGACAAAAATTATCTGGGAATAGATCCATAGAAAGACAGGCCTTTTACTACAAATATCCACCCATAAATGTACAGCCAGACTCCACCAACACTTCTCAAAGATAGTCTAACAAATAAGTCCAAAGAACACTTCCAGGACACTCTCCAGAAAAGACTCACATCAGACTGACGACAGACCACCTGAAGAGCTTTACAGATGTACTCCCGGACAATGGACTAAAGAGCTCATCTCTTGAGGCGCTCCTGGAATGCATACTCGCAACCAAACCAATGATAACCCTTTGCGAGTGTATAGAATGCTGCATGAATGATGGAAATGGCTGTGCGAATGGTAATGGAAAAATGGGAGTGCGGCTGGCAATGGGAAAGGGGAGTAGTAGAAGTGGACAAAAGTCTTACTAACACTCTCGCTGACGTGATTGCCGCCGTAGCAGTAGAGGAAGAGCTGCGTTAGGGCCGCGACTGTATAGCAGATGTAGGTTAAGCCGCTCAGCGACGACGTGTTCTGCCCGGCGAAGAACGTGGAGCGTGGAGCGTGGACCCATAGACAGGAGGAGAAAGAAAGAAAAGAGACTGAGATAAGAGCCGCCATTAATTGGAGAGAAATTGCTTGTAGTGAAAAAATAGTAAGAGATTATTTAATATATGTATAATCGTGAGAGTTTTGAAGTAGCTGTGGAAAATGGGGGAGCAAAAAAAGAAGGAAAGTGAAAAAAAAAACATCAAAGAAATTCCCTCAACTGGTCTTGGGCTACTTGTGGGCAGAAGTCTGATTGCTTTTCCGTTCCCATTCCAGTGACATTTTCAGCTGGAAAATGGGGGAAAAGTACTTATAATACGATTTCTGCATGTAGTAGAATGCATAAAGCCGTAAGCATGCTCGATTGTACAAGAGTGTAATAGGATTTGCCATAAATAAACTAGTTTTATGTTTTCTCTCTCTCCCCTCGGTCTTTTTCCCTCCTCCAAACTTTGTTTTTGTTTTTATGCGCTCAATGGAGGGCAGGTCGGAGGGAGAGAGTGAGAGCAAGAGCTTTGCCAGATGGCGGGGGAGTACTCCGAGGGCGCACTACGCCAGTGGTATTGTTGCAATGACCAGAAACTTGCAGAGAGAAATAAAAAGTTTGGATTCAAAAAAGAGAAACCGATGGATGGACTGCAGAAGGATCTTAATTTTTGGTTGACCGATGCTCCGACTATGTTCCCATCCAAGTTCGGCAATATATCTTTATTCTTGTAGCTTATGCTTTATTTTTTGTACGATTTTCTGTCTTTCCATAAATTTTAAGTATAACTCTGGTGATTAATGGTGGTTTTCTCTTTCAACATGTTGTGGTGAGAGCTCAAATCATCATTGATCCAATCAGTTGCCTTGATTTCTGGACACCCAATAGCTCTAACCAGTTTTAGCAACTCATTGCATAGCTCGGAAAACCCATCTCCCGGCCCAACCCCTGGCTTCGCAGGAGCCTCTTAGCGTTAAGGCCACACTGGATGGGGGTTTGTATATGGGGTTCCTGCAACAAAACGGCACCCTCTACTGCGTCCGCCCTCTCCTCACGAAGACCGACCTGCAATATTTGAACCCCAACAGATGAATGAGCCTTAGAAAAACCAAGCAGCTCGGCAGCACAAGGCGAATGATGGAGAGGCCTCCTCCCACAAATCAATGTCTGGGCAGCGGAAGGAGATTGAAGGAAAGTCCCACCCCCAAAAACCAAAAGTTTCTTCTTCAAGCGGAAGGGCACCTCCTAGTCGGAGGAAAGGGAGAGGAACTAGATGTAAAATGGACAAGAATTCAGAATCAAATATTCAAATAATAAAATTGGAAATTCTTACAGTCTTGATTGATCTATTAATTGGCCCAAAAATTTAATAACAAACATCTGTATATGAATCTGGATTGGTAATAATTGAACAAAAAACAAACAGCTCTCAAATCTTTCCGTAATTAAGTTGCCCAAAACAAACTTAATCGAATATGAAAATCTTTCAATTATCTCGCCCTCTAAACGGATCAATATCAATCGCACACTTTCACTGGTCCCCAAACAGCAGGAGACATGAACAAGTTTTTCGAAATAGATTTCGCAAACACCTTAAACAGCGGCGGCCCCGGAAGAAAAGCAGCGCTAAAGTGTCGCCTGCATTTATCCCATTTGGGGGCCAGGAGCCTCGAACATTTTCCAAACATTTTCAGCGGGTTTTCCCGAGCAGTCCGTAGCCAACGGCTTATGGGTCTCCCGGGCCGTGCCGGGGACACCGGAAAACGTGTGAAAGTCGCATTAAAAACTTTTTTCGTAGCAGTAACAATTCATGCGCTTATAAATTGCCACCGGAGAGAGAGCCACAGTCACACGGCACGGCACCATTGCCAGCCACAAAACAAACAAAAACGAATACGAGAACGAAAACGAATCAGAACAGTACGACGGAATACGGCTGGGGAAAAACGGGCGAAAACAGGGAAAAACTTTTAAAACGGCCGCCAAATTCGATTCGACTGTGGCAAGCTGTGGAGTGAGGTGCAGGGCGGTACAGTGCGGTATGGTGCGGTATGGTGCGGT